GCTAGGAAGTAGCCTGATTGTGGCCGAGCTGTGCCCATGCCATTGCACTCCATTCTCACTCAGAGAACGAGCAGGAATATTTTGATAAACAGAGGCTGGGGGGACCACATTTCAGTTAGAAGGAACAGCAGAAACAAATTCTTGGTAAGAAATCAGGGAACAGTCACAAGCTGGGTTTCTTGGGAAGCAGAATTGGATGGAGATGAGTGTGCAGGATGTTTATGGGGCATGCTGTTGTGCTCACACCTGTGATGGGAGGGGACAGAGACAGGATTGGGCCGAGGCAGTGGTGGGGCTGCAGCATCTCATTGAAGCTTCTGCTGACTCTGGGAGGAGCTCTCCAGTTGGGATAACCCTTTGGAGTTGACCTGAACTAGGGCAAGTGGACCGGCTCTCTGTACTCCTGTTTTGGTCAGTTGTTGGATGAAGGCTGCCTCTGGAAGGAGGCATGACCTTGGGACGAGACCGTTTTCTTCTCCTGTGGCAATCTCCAAAGAAGGCTAATAGCTGAGGGCTGTCTTCTGGCAGCATTCCCAGAAGCCATGGGAATAAATCCTTCATTTCTGTCTTAGTCCATTTGCACTGCTGGAACAAAAAACCTGAGACTCAGTAATTTATTAAAAAAAAAAAAAATTACCTCTCATCGTTCTGGAGGCTGAGAACTCCAAGATCAAGGTGCCAGCAGATTTAGTGTCTGGTGAGGGCTGCTCTCTACTTCCAAGATGGCGCCTGGACTGTTGCATCCTCCAGAGGGCAAACACCTTGTCCTCACATGGCAGAGGGAATGAATGCGGTGAACACACGCCCTCAAGCCTTTTTGTAAAGCACTAATTCCATCCATGAAGGCAGAGCCCTCATGGTCTAATCACCTCTTAAAGGCCTCACCTCTTAGTACTATTGCATTGGAGATTAAGTTTTAACATGAATTTTGGAGCGGACATAAACATTCAAACCATAGCAATTCCCAGGCTGGGCGCCGTGGCTCACGCCTATAATCCCAGCAATTATAGGGAGGCCAAAGTGGAGGGATCACCTGAGGTCAGGAGTTCTAGACCAGCCTGACCAACATGGAGAAACCTCATCTCTACTAAAAAATACAAAATTAGCTGGGCATGGTGGTGCATTCCTGTAATCCTAGCTACTTGGGAGGCTGAGGCAAGAGAATCGCTTGAACTCAGGAGGTGGAGGTTGCAGTGAGCAGAGATTGTGCCATTGCACTCCAGCCTGGGCAACAGAGTGGGAATCTGTCTTAAAAAAAAATTATATATATATATATATACACATACACACATATATATGTATACATATATATGTTTATGTGTGTGTGCATGTTTGTTGCAAATTTAAAAATAAAATGCATGATAAGAGTAGCATAAGAGGAATTGAGAGTACATTATTATAAGGTTCTTACACTACATGTAAAGTGGTATTATTTGAAGGTAGACTCTGACAAATTAAATATGTATATTGAACCCTTGGACAACCACTAAAGCCACCACAGTCACTCTCTCAACAGATATTTCTTGAGTATATGTAACGTACCAGAGGATCCAGTGGGTTCATGGAGACAAACCCCTGTCACAAAGTTGGTACCGAGGAGGCACCAATGATTTTGGGGTAGCTTGTCCCGCAGTCTTAGCCCTTCCTCCTTTCTGGAGTCTTCAGGTTATGGAGGATGCATGAAGGGTTAAGTGCAATGGGACCCAGGGCAGAGGACAAAAGTATATTGAACTCCTTTTTCAAGATGACGTCAGGACTTATTAAGGGGCAGCCAGACCAGCTCTTCTACCTCCACTGGGCCCCCTGTAAATAAGCAGGTGAGGAGTTGTGAGGAGGTCTTTGGAGTTGAGTGTCCCAGCCTGAGGAGAAGGCAGGTGGTGCTAAGGCTTGTCCCTCCCCTGGGAAAGGGAAGGACTCTCACTTCCCCAATTCGAGCCAAATGCAGGGGGTTCCAAGGGAAATCTCAGAAAGCAGGTCTGCATTTAGGAGAGTCCAGCACCTCATTCTCCAGTGGGGGGTCTGCCTAGGCTCCCCTGCTCTTGTGCCTCTCTTTTTGGGGAGAAGAATAATGAATGAACTATGAAGAAATACGGGCTGGCAGAAAGGACACGCAGAACAGCCCACACCCCAGCAACTGGGCAACAAGGGAGTGGGAGGTTTCTGGGAGCCAAGGGGGCATCATGGGAGGGAGACAGCTTGCTGCTCCTCCAGCAAAGAGGCCTGCTGACCAGGTGAGGGAGCCCAGAGGAAAACAGGCAGGAAGGGGGAGCTGTGCGAGACAAAGAAAGCATGCGGAGTCGGCTGTGGGAATGCAGGGATAAGAGGCCTCCAAGGATTCCCCAAAGGACCTGCACCCCATGCCAGAGCCACTGTCTGGCCCTGATGACACAGAAATCCCTGGTGGCCAATCAGGGATGGCCTGAGAGATGGCATTGGCTGCAAGAGCAAGAGCGGGGTGGGGGTGGGGGGGTTCTCCAACAGGAAGCTATTAGGAGAGAGAGAGAGAGAGAGAGAGAGAGAGAGAGCGCGAGAGCGAGAGAGCGCTTTTCCCTGTGCCCTCCCTCCTCCATGTTAACCCAGAAGCCAGATGGGACTTTCAACTGGATCAAACTGGCCTGGACACCCTCATGCTCCAGTGTGGTCGGTAGTCCATGCAACCCATGAAGGGACAGGGAAGACAGAACATGGGTGATGGCAGCAATTGGAGAAGAAAACTACCCAGGGAGCTCAGTCCATCCAATAAACCAGAGACACCGAGAAATTAACCTAAGGCCAGACCATTCACTTTCACCCCCGTTTTTCTTGTTGGCTTTGAAATCTCTTTATTCCCCATCATCGTTCTTTTTAAAGACACAACTTCCACAGGGACAAGAGAGATTTGCTATTATGGGTTGAATTGCTCTCTCTAAACCCCTCCCAAAAAAAAAGATATGGACCTCAGAATGTGATCTGATTTGAGAATCGTGTCCTTGCAGGTATAATTAGTTAAGATGAGGTAATCCTTGAGTAGAGAGGGACCCTAATCTGATAGCACTGTGTCCTAAGAAGACAGCCATGTGGCTGGGTGTGATGGCTCACGCCTGTAATCCCAGCACTTTGGGAGCCTGAGGCAGGCAGATCATGAGGTCAGGAGTTCGAGACCAGACATGGTGAAACCCCCATCTCTACTAAATATACACAAATTAGCCAGGCATGGTGGCACGTGCCTGTAATCTCAGCTACTCAAGAGGCTGAGGCAGGATAATTGCTTGAACCTGGGAGGCAGAGGTTGCAGTGAGTTGAGATCGCACCATTGCGCTCCAGGCTGATCAACAAGAGCAAAACTCTGTCTCTAAAAAAAGAAAAGGAAAGGAAAAAAGAAGACAGCTATGTGAAGTCAGGGAGAATGCCCTGTGATGAAGAGGCAGAGACTGGAGTTCTGTATCTGCACACGAGGAATGCTGAGGATTGTCGAGAAACCACCAGAAGCTAGGAACAGGCAGGGAAGGATCCCCCTAGGAAGAGCCGGGAAGATTTCAGAGGGCGCGGGCCTGGCCCATGCCTTGATTTCAGACTTTTGGCCTCCAGCACTGACAGATTACACTCCTGTTGCTGTAAGCCAGTTTGTGGTACCTTGTTACGGCAAAGATGGTTCAAAGTCTGCCTGAAAAAGAGGCAGCTGGCACAGCCCTGGAGGAGGAGCCGGATTAGGTGGGAACATTGTGCAATTAGAAATAATGAATAAGGACTAACATTTATTGCTCAAGAAGTGTGCCTACTATATGCCAGGCCCCGTTAATACACAAAGCCCTGTATGTGTATTAACCTAAGAAAGTAAGTACCATTATAACCCTATTTTACAGATGAAGAAATGAAGGCACAGACACGTGATGTGATTTGCCCAAAGTCACACAGCTAGTAATTATTAGGATGAGAATTTGAACCCAGGCTCTCTGGCTCCCAAGCTGAGGATCTTAATCACCATATCATCTGCCTCCACAAAATAAGTTAGCAATCAGTGTTACACCAGGGCCTCTATAAAATACTGCGGGTCACTTTGGGAGGCTAAGGCAGGCAAATCACTTGAGGTCAGGAGTTTGAGACCAGCCTTGCCAACATGGTGAAACCCCCATCTCTGCTGAAAATGCAAAATTAGCTGGGTGTGGTGGCGGGCGCCTGTAATCCAGCTGCTCAGGAAGATGAAGCAGGAGAAGCGCTTGAGCCCAGGAGGCGGAGGTTGCAGTGAGCTGAGATTGTGTCACTTCACTCCAGCCTGGTGGCAGAGTGAGACTCCATCTCAACAACAAAAAAAAAAATTGAGGGAGTATTTTATACTCTATAAAATACTACATGTATATATATGTATGTATGCATGTGTGTACACACACACAAATACATATATGATAGATTTGCTATTATCGATTGAATTGGTCTCTCCATTCCCATGTGAATGGATGGATGGATGGATGGATAAATAGATAGATAGATAGATACAGAGAGAGAGAGAGAGATAGGGTCTCACTCAGTCACCCAGGCTGGAGTGCTGTGGTACAATCGCAGATCCCGGCAGCCCAGACCTCCTGGACGTAAGTAGTGCTCCCACCTCGGTCTCCCACAATGCTGGCATGCCCTGGCCTGTGTTCTCATCTGTAAAGTGGGAGTGAATCACCCACCACGTCACAGGGCGTAATGTGCTGGTCACGTGTCTGGCACAGAAGGAACTCACTGATGTTCTGACCCCCATTGGGGGGCTGGGAAAACTCATATTCTGCCCACTGCTCTCCCTGTTCTCTGTGCCTGGCAGAGTTTATTCTGATTTCCATCTGCAAAGAGATTCTTCTTCCCCCTGTCCCAACACCTCTGGGAGACCCAAGCACACTCCTGACAGGGACGCCAGGTGTGGGTTTCTGAGGGCAGCTCAGAGGCACAGCCAGCTTGGAACAGGCACAGTCAGCCATCTGCTGAGCCTGCAGGCTGTGTGCATGACCTCTGCCGTGAAGCGGACACGGTCATAGGCTAAGATGCGGGACGGGATGCCTGTGCGCGAGCGCCCAGCTGTCCACGTACATGTCTGAGCACACGTGGGCACATTCACACATGTGCTTGTGAGCACTGGGGGATCTTCATATGACATTCTCTGCTTTGTGGAATTAGCATTTGCTCATTCATCCTGTGAATATTTGTGCTTGTTTTGTTTTGTTTTGAGACAAAGTTTCTTTCTTGTTGCCCAGGCTGGAGTGCAATGGCACAATCTCCAGATCTTGACTCACTCCAGCCTCCACTTCTCGGGTTCAAGTGATTCTCCTGCCTCCTGCAGGCATGCGCCACAATGCCCAGCTAATTTGTTATACTTTCAGTGGAGAAGAGGTTTCACCATGTTGGCCAGGCTGGTCTCAAACTCCTGACCTCAGGTAATCCACTCGTCTCAGCCTCCCAAAGTGCTGGGATTACAGGTGTGAGCCACCGCCCCCGGCCCATCCTGTGAATATTTATTGAGTACCGACTATGTGCCAGGCTCTGTTGTAGAAGCTGGGGCTACACCCGTGAGCAAGACAATTAAATTACTTGCCCTTGTACGGGGACGCAGAAAGTAAACAAGGTCATGTCAGAGAGTGCAATGGAAGAAATGAAGCTGAGGTATAGTCAGCTCAGGCTGCAGAACAAGATACCCCAGACTGGGTGGCTTAAACCAGCAGTCCCCAACCTTTTTGGCCACCAGGGACTGGCTTTGTGGGAGACAGCTTTTCCACAGATGGTGGGGGGATAGTTTCAGGATTATTCGTGTTACATTTATTGTACACTTTATTTCTGTTATTTATTACACTGTAATATGCAATGAAATAATTGTATGACTCACCATCATGTAGAATCTGTGGGAGCCCTGAGCTTGTTTTTCTGCAATGAGATGGTCCTACCTGGGAGTCATGGGAGACGGTGACAGATCATCAGGCATTAGATTCTCACAAGGAGCGCTCAGCCTAGACCCCCCGCACGCGCAGTTCACAGTAGGGTTCACATTCCTATGGGTATATAATGCCGCCGCTGATCGGACAGGAGGCAGAGCTCAGGCAGCAATTCGACTGATGGGGAGTGGCTGTAAATACAGATGAAGCTTTGCTCACTCACAGGTCACCAGTACTGGTCCACGGCCAGGGGGTTGAGGACCCCTGGCTCAAATAACAGCAATTTATTTTCCCACAGTTCCGGAGGCTGCAAGTCCAAGATCACGGCGCTGGTGGGGTTTCCTCCGAAGCCTCCCTCCTTCTCTTTTCTCCCCATGTCCTCACACGGCCTTGCCTCTGTGCACACTCACCCCTGGTGTCACTTCTCCCTTTTAAAAAGGACACCACTCAGATTGGATTAGGACCCAGCCCTACTGGCCTCGTTTTGACTTATTCACCTCTTTAAAGACCTGATCTCCTTACCTCAGACATTCTGGGGTACTGGGGGTTAGGGCTTCAAACTATAAACTTTGGGAAGGGCACAGTTCTGCCCATAACTGCTAGGAAAGGAATGAAGTGGGTGGTTTCTTTTAAGAGATGGGATCCCACTCTGTTGCCCAGGCTGGTCTTGAACTCCTGGCCTCAATTGATCTTCCTGCCTTAGCCTTCCAAAGTTGGCAGGAGTGGGTGGGATATTTTAGTCAAGGTGGTCAGGGAAGGCCTCTTGGAGGAGGTATCATTTGAGCTGAGGTCTAATCAGGAGATCTGGGGAAAAGAGGGTCCAAGCAGAGGAAAACGTAAGAACAAAGGTCCCGAGGTGGGATCACGTTGGAGGTCTTCGAGGGGAAAGAAGGCCACACTGGCTGGATGTGAGGTTGGGGGCCATGGCAGGATGGTGTCAGCAGGGCTTTGTAGGCCACAGAAAGGAGTCTGGATTTTATGCAATCCTTCTCCTGTTTCAGTAGAGGCTGTGGGATGTGGTAAGAGGTGCTGGGACATGGTGACGAACCTGATGCATCGTCCCCACTGCCCCCACTACAGCTCCGATCCCTGCCCACGCACTCCCAGCCGGGCAGGCAGATAAGGAGAGGATTTAATGTACTGTGATCATTCCTGAGGCAGACGAGGTCAGGGAGACCTTGGGACCCAAAGTGCTAGCTCTGCCTGAACTAGTTAGCTCAGTGTCTCTGGCGAGGCTGCTGGACTCATGACTTGAGATGAAGAAGCAGAACCGTATCCCAGGCAGAGAGAACTGTGTGGCCTAAAGCTGGAGAAATGAAAGGGCTGCCGGTGAGCTCGGGTGGGTGGGGGATATGGGACAGGGCATCAGCAGCACCTGCCACGCAGATATCCACCACCTGGGAGCTGGCTAAGGAAATGATGGTCAAGCCGTATGGTAGAATATTCTGCAGCTGTACCATCGAATGAAGCAGCCTTCTCTCTGAAGATACGAAAAGATTTCCAAGATGTATTAAGTGCAAAAATTAAAGCATAGAACCACATTCCTGATAAGCTACCATTTGTATAAAAAGCATGTGTGGAGGTGGTAAATAAGACTACGTATTTGTCTTATTTACATTTGCATAAAGAAGCTGGAAGGATACACAGGAACTAAGACACGTGGCGGGTGATGGAGACTAGGCAGTGAGGAAGATGCGGGAGTTCGACTTGTTTCACTGTGTGCCTTGTGAATGGTGTTTTGTTTTGTTTTTTTTTTTTGAGATGGAGTCTCACTCTGTCACCCAGGTTGGAGTGCAGTGGCATGATCTTGGCTCACTGCAACCTCCGCCTCCCAGGTTCAAACGAGTCTCCTGCCTCCTGAGTAGCCTCCTGAGTAGCTGGGATTACAGGCGGCCACCACCACGCCCAGCTAATTTTTTGTATTTTTAGTAGAGACGGTGTTTCACCATGTTGGCCAAGCTGGTCTCAAACCCCTGACCTCAAGTGATCCACCCGCCTCGGTCTCCCAAAGTGCTGGGATTACAGGTGCGAGCCACCACAAGCAGTCCTGAATGCAATTTTTGAAACCCATAATCATGAAACTCATTCTTAAAAATGGAAGAGCTAGAGTACAGCAAATGTGGTGTAGGAGCTGAGGTCACCAGGGCTGAGGTTGCTGTCACAGTATAAAAAGACACATATCGTGACTATGAGATTAACAAGAGCCATAGGACCCGCTTAAGCATCTCACAGGCCGGATACCAGGTGTCACTTAGCAGCTGATGCAGCCTGGCCCCAGGATTTCCATCACTGCCCAGGGGATTTCCAGGAAACAAGACCACCTCAGCACAGATGCAACTTTCATAAACCTTGAAACAAAGCTTCCCCTTACAAGAATAGCTTAAACTTTTTTTTTGAAAGAAACACCTGGCAACTAATCTAGACTGAACCCAGGCCTAAGAAAGGGAGAAAGATCCCCCAAACTCTGAGAATGGTCTCTAGACAGGGATCCTCCTAGTCAGCTGGTCCTCTGACCCCCTAAGTGTGTCTGGCCCATGTCATTGCTGTCTGTCTCGTAACAGCACAGCCAGAATAAATCGCTTGAGGCTGTGCATGGTGGTTCATGCCTGTAACTCAGAACTTTGGGAGGCAGAGGCAGGAAGATGGGTTGAGGCCAGGAGTTCAAGACCAGCCTGTGCAACATAGTGAGATCCCATCTCTTAAAAAAAAAAAAAAAAGGATAAACCATTTGAACATCAGACAGTATCTAAGACTCATCTGTGACACGAATCAACCAAAGAGGAGAAGCCGCCCCTGGGGAAGGTGGCCCCTAGGACCACCTGAACACAACAGCTGCTTATGATTTGGGCAGTAGGGAGCCATGGAAGGGTATAAAGGTGGGGAGGAAGTGTGTGATGTGATCAGACTTGTGAGCAGCCAGTGTGGAGAGTGATTCACAGGAGGCAGCATGGAGGAGGCAGGTGTGACCATCCAGCTAGTGCCTGGCCACTGATCCAGAGCAGAGCACTGGAGGGGGAAGGGACAGTAGAAGGTAGAGCTCATGTGGCTCCACTGCCAGGCGGTGATGCCAGACTGCTCCTTCCCCTAGGAAGAGAGGTGGATATCAAGCCTCAAGCCCCGCGCAGCCACGCTGATAAATCACCGCTGGCCAGTCATTACTCTTCCCACGTGCAGCCCCCTAATTGCTAAGAGATGAAGTAAGTGTCTGAGGCTGCCCTCTTTCCATGGCAGACAAATGCCTGTCTGAGCAAAAGCCAGAGGGAACAGGACAGATGGGGTCCTGTTCAGCTTCCCTGCTCCCAAGCCCTTGCTGCTCCTGTGGGCTTTGGGAAACCAACAAGGGCTCGTGTTTAACGAGGCTGCCTGCTCATCCATCACGCAAGGCCCGTGCACTGTGATGACAGCCGCTGCCAAAGATGAGATCCAGGTCAGGGTCCCCAAATCAGAGCAGGGTGAGGGTGGGGCAGGCTCAGGGCAGTCAAACCCAGGCTGTGTAAATCACCACACCTCTCCAGGCTGTGATTTTCTCACCAAAATGGGGATCATGTTTTATGAGGCAGACATTGCATGTTAACAACTCTACAGCCGCTTGCTCTACTTCTTTATGAGGAGAATCACATTGTTTTCAGGATGGGATGAATGGTATCACCAAAAAAACGTACTCATCCAGCTTCCCTTGCAGCAGGGGCCACCATGCGACAAGAGATAAGACATAAGGCCGGGTGTGGTGGCTCATGCCTGTAATTTCAACACTTTGGTAGGTTGAGGCAAGAGGATCGCTTGAGCCCAGGAGTTTGAGACCAGCCTGGGCAACATAGCATGACCTGTCCCTACAAAAAAAAAAAAAAAAAAAAAAAAAAAAAGAAGAAAATTGCTGGGCACAGTGGCTCACACCTATAATCCCAGCACTTTGGGAGGCCGAGGTTGGCATATCACCTGAGGTCAGGAGCTCAAGACCAACATGGTGAAACCCTATCTTTACTAAAAATACAAAATTAGCCAGGTGTGGTAGTGCACGCCTGTAATCCCAGCTACTCGGGAAGCTGAGGCAGGAGAATGACTTGAACCCAGGAGGTAGAGGTTGCAGTGAGCCAAGATTTCGCCATTGCACAGCCTGGGCAACAAGAGTGAAACTCTGTCTCAAAAACAAAAAAAGTTATCTATGCATGGTAGCACACACCTGTAGTCCCAGCTACTCAGGAGATCGACGTAAGAGGATCACTTGAGCCTGGGAGGTTGAGGCAGCAGTGAGCTGTGATCATACCACTGCACTCCAGCTTGGGTGATGGAGTGAGACCCTGTCTCAAAACAAAGAAGCAAACAAAAGACAGGAGCCATGGAAACATTTGTAGATGAGATGCCTGGAAATACGACAAGAGGATCAAAGCCGCACCCCAAGAGTGCTGAAGTGTCAAGATCAAAGGTGTCCAAGTCCCTGGCAGCTTGATGGAGCCACTAAGTCTCCTGGGGCTGCCATATCCAGACTTCTGAATAGTCTCTGTGAGGATGAAAGGCAAGGCTCCAGGCCCTGCCAGAGCCTCGAGCTGAAACCAGGCTCCCTACATCAGGAAAAAGCTGAACATCAGCTGTTTCTTCCTGGGACTGGAAAAACTGCCCAGTAACCTTGGGCTGCAGCCTGGAAGTGGGTGTCTTGCCCTGGACCATAGAAAGAAAATGTCACCCAAGATAAACTGAAAAACAAAACAAAAAGAAAGAAACTCAATAGGCGGGATTGACAGTAGCCTATTATCTTCATGTACTGGGACCGTCATAATAAAATATAGTAGAGTGGCTTAAGCCACAGCGATTTATGAACTTTCAGTTCTGGAGGCTGAAGTCCCAGATCAAGGTGCCAGTGTTTGGTTTCTTCGGAGGTCTCTCTCTTTGGCTTGCAGCCAGCCACCTCCTCACTCTGTCCTCACATGGCCTCCCCTGGGCATGCTCATCCTTCCTGCTCCTTGGCGCATCCGCATTTCCTTTTCTGGGGACACTGGTCAGATTGCATTAGGGGCCACCCATTTGCATTAAATGACAGCCTCATTTTAACTTCATCACCTCTTCAAAGGCCCTATCTCCAATATAGTCACACTCAGAAGTATTGGGGACTATAGAACACCTATCAGAAGTGTTCGCCTAGAATACAGCACACAGAGAGATAAAAAAAATGTGAAATATAAAGGAGAAGTTAAGATGGAGGATGAAATGAAATGATCCATTATATATCTAATAGGATGTACGACAGGAATAAGAATTCCAATAAGAGATAGTAAGAGAATGTGGGAAAAGCAACATATGAAACTATAATAGGGGCCAGGCATGGCCCAGAACTTTGGGAGGCTGAGGTGGGCAGATCACGTGAGGTCAGGAGTTTGAGAACAGCCTGGCCAACATGGTGAAACCCCATCTCTACTAAAAAATACAAAAATTAGCCGGGCCTGGTTGCAGGCACCTGTAATCCTGGCTACTTGGGAGGCTGAGACAGGAGGCGGAGGTTGCAGTGAGCCAAGATTGCGCTACTGCACTCCAGCCTGGGTGACAGATTGAGACTGTCTCAAAAACACAAAAAGAAAATATAAGAATTTTTCAGAATTGAAGAAAGCTCTGGCTTCACAGAGCAAAGCCACAGTTCAAAGTGGTATAAAAACAATCTAGGCTGAGTGCAGTGGCTCAAACATGTACTCTCAGTGCTTTGGGAGGCCAAGGCAGGAGGATCACTTGAGTCCAGGAGTTCAAGACCAGCATAGACAATATAGGGAGGCTCTGTCGCTACAAATAATTTAAAAATTAGCCAGGTATGGTGGCATGTGCCTGTGGTGCCAGCTACTTGGGAGGCTGAGGCAGGAGGATTACCCAAGTTCAGGAGGTGGAGACTGCAGTGAACCATGATCATGCCACTGCAATCCAGTCTGGGGTGACAGAGAGAGATCCTGTCTCAAACACAAACAAACAAAATCTATACTTATGCATGCAGTTGGACAACTTTAAGGGTGAAAAGAAAACTTTCTTTTTTTTTTTTTGAGATGGAGTCTCACTCTGTCGCCCAGGCTGGAGTGCAGTGGTGCAATCCCAGCTCGCTGCAACCTCTGCTTCCTGAGTTCAAGCAATTCTCCTGCCTCACCCTCCCAAGTAGCTGGGACTACAGGTAAGCATCACCACAGCCAGCTAATTTTTGTATTTTTAGTAGAGACAAGGTTTCATCATGTTGGCCAGGCTGGTTCTGAACTCCTGACCTCAGGTGATCTGCCCATCTTGGCTTCCCAAAGCGCTGAGATTACAGGCATGAGCCACCACACCCAGCCAAGAGAAAACTTTTAAAGCTGCCAGAAAGGTGGGAAAGACAGATTCCCTTCAAATAAACAATTAGACTAAAAAATAGACTTCTAATTAGCAACAATAGGAGCCAGAAAATAGTAGAATAATATCTCTAAAACACAATGAAAAAATACTTGTCAGCCTAAAATTCCATACATAGCTAAACTGTCATTGAAGAGTGAGATCAAAACAATTTCTAGGCCGGGCATGGTGGCTCATGTCTGTAATCCCAGCACTTTGGGAGGCTGTGGTGAGTGGATCACTTGAGGCCAGTCAACATGTCGAGACCCCTTCTCTGCTAAAAATACAAATATTAGCCAGGTACAGTGTCACAAGCCTGTAGTCCCAGCTACTCAGGATGCTAAGACATGGAGAAACCCCGGTCTCTACTAAAAATACAAAATTAGCCAGGTGTAGTGGCGCATGCCTGTAATCCCAGCTACTTGGGAGGCTGAGGCAGGAGAATGGCTTGAACCCAGGAGGCAGAGGTTGCAGTGAGCCAAGATCATGCCATTGCCCTCCAGCCTGGGAAACGAGAGTGAAACTCCATCTCAAATACATATATATATTTCCAGACATACATGATTTAGAGTTTACTACCCATAGGCCCTCACTGAAAGATTAACGGATGCACTTCAACAAGAAGGAAAATGATTAAGGAGATAGAGAAGTGAATCCCATGTAGGTCATGTTATTTGAGCCTTTGATCAAGTTCAACCTGAAGATACTCCTGGACTTTTCAGTTTCAGGTGCCCACAAGTCCCACTTCATTGAGGGGGGGAGGGGAATGAGTTAGAATGTTCTGTCACTTTCAACCAAAAGGGCCCTGATTGACACCACAGCTCTCCCATGGATGTTAACTAAATCAATAAGATTGGTTCCCCCAGCTTGGAAAACAACAGAGGTAAATAAATATGTGTTAAATACATGAAACATGGTCCCTGTCTTTGTGAATCATGGAATCTCATAACCATTGATCAGGAGAGTTCTGAAGACATTGAATCTTGGACTCTGTCCCCACCTGTGACATCCTGGTTTATCTGATCTTTGGAACCAAGACCCAGCCCATCTAGTGTATGATTACCTTCCTGTTTATAATCCCCACATCACCCCCCCCACACACACACACATGCACACATGCACGTGCACAAACACATGCACATGTGCGCACACACACGCACATGCACACATGCACACACACGTGCACATGTGCACACACACATACGCACACACTCCTATTAAGCTCACTCTCCCAGCCAGGGCCTGTGCCCACAACAGCCTCACAGCCCCTGCTCTGTTCCCTAGGAAGGGACAGTTCCCCCAGAAGAGAGGAAGAACACTCTCTCCTGAAAGGAGGAAGTGCCAGTGGCAAAGCAGGACCTGCCCCCACAGGTCTCTTCCTACAGGCAGGTGAGGCTGTGCCCAGCCTTCCCTTCTCTCTGCCTGCACCTGTCAGCCTAGACCCAGCTCTTCACAGCCCCACCATCACCCCGTCAAGGAACATGAAGAAGCCTGAAGCCTTCTCACTTCCTTTTTATATATATACAGACAGGGTCTCACTCCGTCACCCAGGCTGGAGTGCGGTGGCACAATTATAACTCACTGCAGCCTTGAACTCCTGGGCTCAAGCGATCCTACCACCTCAGCCTCCCAAGTCATGAGGACTACGGGGGTGCACCACCATGCCCAATTAATTTTTTTAAAATTTTGTGGGTTGGGTGCTGTGGCTCACACCTGTAATCCCAGCACTTTGGGAGGCCGAGGTGGGTGGATTGCCTGAGCTCAGGAGTTCAAGACCAGCCTGGGCAACATGGCGAAACCCCATCTCTACAACAAATAGAAAAAACTAGCTGGATGTGGTGGTGCAAACCTGTGGTACCCACTACTTGAGAGGCTGAGGTGGGAGGATCACTTGAGCCTGGGAGGTGGAGATTGTAATCAGCTGAGAACACGCCACTGCCCTCCAGTCTGGATGACAGAGTGAGGCCCTGTCTCAAAAAAAAAAAAAAAAAAAAAAAAAAAAAAATTGGAATAGGATCTCACTATGTTGCCCAGTCTGGTCTATGAACTCCTGGCCTCAAGTGATCCTCCTGCCTCAGCCTCCCAGAGCACTGGAATCATAGGCATAAGTCACCATGCCTGGCCCTTTCTACCTCTTAAACACACATTCCCCCATCATTACTGTTTCCAGGATATCTACTATGGCCTAGATGCTTGACACCATTTTTCCTTGAATCAATATCTCCTTAGTCAACAACCCTGGGAGTTTTGAGAGCTTTTACAGAGGAGGAACTGAGGCCCAGAGAGAGGAAGGGACTTGCTCAAAGTCCCTCAGCTACTAAGTTGAGGATCCAAGATTTCAACCCAGAGACACAGAGGAGGATTTCACACGTCTGTTTGAAGCCAAAGCCCAGGAGAGAGATTTCTCGCAGAAGCTACTTCTCACAAACAGCCTTTCTGGAAAAGCAATGAAGATTCGGGGTTTTTAGGATTTTGGCCAGACCTTGGCCCTCCCGGTTGGCTCAGAGTGAGGTATTTGAGAGTGAAATTGTTCCTGTTCTTCCTCCGCCACTTCCTAGGCTCCCAGCTGCCGGCCACAGCTCTGGCAGCCGAGGTTGCATAAACCCTCTCATCTAATTAAAAAATAAAATCAAAGAAGGAAAACTTTTTATTATACTTTCCTAATGGTGGAAAATAGTTTCAGACATAAAAAGGCATTCAGCTGGCTACTTCCCAGGCATCAAAAATTAACAGCCACTACATTTTATTCCGAGGAATTAATGGAAAATTTTACATGGTGGTGTAAAATGCAGGGGACAAGATGAAGAACATGATTCTTCATTGAACAGCTCAGCCCCCCGCTTGCAGCAAAGACGCTGTTTTGGCCGCCTGCTCTGAGGAGGAACCATGGGTTCACAGGGGGCCAAGTAGGTTATGTGGGGGATGGAGGGGAGAGGTGGGGGGAATTGGGTACCACCTCCAGGGAGGCTTCTGAACCCCCCCCCCATTTGCAGACACCTCCAAACCCTGGCCTCTTCAAATTGTCATCTTCCCTGCAAGATCCCTTTGCCCTGAATGATTGCAGATGGTCAAAACTTCAGACCCAGGGGCAGGAAGCCTGGGTTCTAGTCCTGGTTCTGCCTCGGTCTCTCCATCTGCCAAATGGTCACTAGAGCTCTGGGATCCCTCTGAATCCTGATGTAAAACAAACTTGGTCTGTGTCCTCTCCTAAAACTATGAGCAAGAGCCTGGGCTTTCAAGCTGAGCAGACCTGGGTCTGAATCCAAGCTTGGCCACTCATTAGCTCCATGGCCTCAGGCAAGTCACTTCTCTGAGCCTCAGTCTCTACCTCTTTAAAATGGGGACAATAAGACACCCCCTGGAGGGCTGTGTGATGTTGACATCAGTTTTTCCCGTCTTCTCTAGCTCCGGGGGCCCCCAAGTGAACCCCAGCAACACGGACCCAAGCTCCTTTTCTTGGTTTCTTCTTTCCACAAAAGAGTTTATCCCGAAACACGCCAGTTAGCAGTGAACACCGTACAGGCACCTCCTGGGGCTAGCGAAGAGGAGGGTTCACATCACTCACCTGACAGCAAACCCCTGGCAAGCCCTTTGGACCACACTGGAAGGAGAAATCAGTTCCTCCCTGCGGAGTGGGATGGAGTGGGCAGGGAGCAGAGAGGAGCTTTTAAAAACATAATTGGAGCATATCTGGGAAAAAGGCAATGTACAATTCACGGTTATGATGTCTGTGCTTTTTCTTTAAAATGTTCCTGAATCCAAATTTTAAGTTTTTAAGTATACTTATTTTTAAATAAACATTTACATGTTTAATCATATTGGCAATTAAGTTATGCCAGGGGCTGTAAGCGCGGGGTGAAGCCCCCCTCCTCTTTGGCTCTGTCCACTCCGTGGCCTCGGGGGCCCCCTTGCCAGCCACGTCCTTGCTCCTTCTCCCGCCTGGACCTTTCTCCAGCTCTCAGGTGCTGCAGCCCCCTGGGCATCTCCGCTGATGCTCCATGTCCCACTTGGAGGCCCAACATTGAGCACAGCTGCTCCCCCCGCCAACTCTTCCTCTGCATCTCCACCAGATGCCCAGTTGTGAGCCAGGGTACTGGGCGCCATCCCAGCCACCTCCCTACTCCAATAAATGCCCCATGGACCCACCTCTAGGGCCTCAGTTGGGTCTATCACCTGCTCTCCAGATCTGCCACCCACCCCAGCTACCACCCCGTGCCTGGAGCTCTGGCTCAGCCAGCAGACTCACCGTCTGAGAGTCCCGCGTGGCAGGCTAAAATCCTGCCGCCAAGCCTCTGCTCTCCCCACGCCCTCTCCCTGGCCTGCCCTTCCCTCTCTTCATTTCTCCACCTCATGTGCCCCGCCTCATCTGAACCTCACACCTCACTCATGTATAGACCCTCTGCAGATGACCCTCCAGCCTGGCTCAAGCAATCAACTGCCTTCAGAAACACAGGATGGGCACCTGATGTGTGCTGAGGACATGGCATTGAGCCCCTGCCCTCAGGGAGTGCCCAGTCTAATGAAAAGGACAGACACAGGCAACTAAAATCCTGTTTTGCTGATGCTGGGATGAAGGGTGCATACAGGACTGGATAGAAGAACCCCCCACACAGCTGGGAGATCAAGAACAGCTTCCTGGAGGAGGTGGGGTTTCCATCAGGCCTCAGAGGAGGAGGACATATTCGGCCCACACAGTGGCACAGAGCACAGCCTTGGGAAAGGCCTGGGATCACCTGACCCAGTCTCAAGCTATCTCCTCCCGGTGGCTCCTTTGCCATAAACCTAGGCTGGGAGCATTTCCAATTCTTTGGAGCACTGCCCAGAGGAAAACTCTCTAGGAGGATGAAGATTTATTTATTTGATTGTAAAGTGAAAGCCAGACCAAGGCTGGGCATAAAGAAAAGGGATAATAAAGAGCGGGCAGAGGACAGCACCCTGCACCCCGGGGAACCCTGAGCCAGCCTGTCAAGCTTGCAGCCTGAGGACTCTGAGCCGACCCTCCCCTCGGCTCAGTGCTCCTCCAATAAAGGTCCTGCCACAAACACATAGCAAGCGCCTCCTGTTTGCCAGCCGTGTGCCAGGTGCCAGGGATACAGCAGCGAACGAGACAAAGGCTCTGTTATCAGCCAGAGTTGGACATGGACCTGGCAGTGGCAGGCCAGGGCTGTGCTGAGGCAACAGGAACCTTGGGGCCTCAAGAGCCCAGTAGCAGCCCCTGGCCTGACCTGGCAGGGGTGGAGGGGCAAGAGAGGGTAGGCAGAGACAGTGTCCAGGAGCAGGGGCTAAGTGAGGGACGAGGGTGTGCAGGGCGCTCCCCAGCCATGCCCTGGGGCCTACTCTGTCTGCAGGGGCCCTGACACGGGACCACTACCATGGCCCTGTTTCTTCCACCCCTCAACTTGCACCCCAGGCAGCCCACCCCACACCTCCTGCTGCCCCCCTTTTATTTTATTTTATTTTAGAGACAGAGTCTCGCTCTGTCACCCAGACTGGAGTATAGTGGTGCCATCTTGGTTCACTAAAACCTCCTCCACCTCCCAGCTTCAAGTGATTCTCCTGCCTCAGCCACCCAAGTAGCTGGAATTACAGGTGCCCGCACCATGCCAAGCTAGTTTTTGTATTTTTAGTAGACATGGAGTTTCACCATGTTGGCCAAGCTGGTCTCAAACGCCTGACCTCAGGTGATCTGCCCGCCTCAGCCTCGCAAAGTGCTGGGATTACAGGCCTGAGCCACCGCGCCCGCCCTCCTGCTGCCCCTTGAGTCCTTACCCTGGCAAACAGTCCCAGCCAGCCTTGTTCTCCGAGGTCGACTTGGCCATAGCCGCCTCCATGTATCCCCTCCCTGCCCACCCGTACTTAATCCAATCTCACGGAGGTCCCAGGACAGAGGCCGGACCGCTGTCTAAGCAGACACAGACCCTCTAACGTAGCCCGAGGCGCCATGGACAACGCCCCCATCTGTGCAAGGGGTCCCTTTAGAGATCCCCTCTTTGCTCCCACAGGGAGCGGACAATAACTGACCCACTCCCAGGTGTGACAATTTACGATCCAATAATTCTCTCTCCGTCTCTTGTCAGTTTCCTGCTTATGGAGACAGAATGAGATGAGGGCCAGGGGACGCTTGGGATAATGGAAATTGCTGGACTGTTATAAGTCTTGAAGGGTGTGTCTAGCCTCAGTTTTAACTGTGCTCTTTAGAATGTTGGGTACTTGGCCAGGCGCAGTGGCTCACCTCTATAATCCCAGCACTTTTGGAAGCCGAGGCAGGTGGATCACTTGAGGGCAAGAGTCCAAGACCAGTTGTTTAAGAGAGATGGCAGAGAGATCCAAGATGGCTGATCACTAGCAGCTCGGGATTGTAGCTCCCACTGAAAGCGCAAAGAACGAGAGGACGCCACACCTTCACATGAATTCTTGTTGCTCACGCACCAGGAGATTCCCAGCAGAGGAGCCCCACGGGTCGCCAGCGCGACTCTTGTGACTGGCGAGGCGGTTTTGCCGGCGCCTTGGAGCGACGGTTCTTGGTGCAGAGTCGGAAAAGCACCATCAATCTTAACGCCGCTGATTTGGTCGGTGCAGTGGGTTGCTCAGATTTCCGCGCTGAGAATCAGTAAGTTGGACGTCCACTCAGAAAACCAATTACAAAGACGGTGAATTCAAAGACCACAGATGGATAAATTTATAACGAAGGGAGGAAAACGGCCAAAAAAGGCTGAGAATGCCCAAGATCAGAACGCCTCTCCCTCAGCGGGGGATCACAGTTCCTCATCAGCAACGGAACAAGGCTTGATGGAGAACGAGTGTGTTCCAATTACAGAAGCAGGCTTCAAAATGTGGATAATGAGAAACTTCTGTGAATTTAAAGAACTTGTTTTAACCCAATCTAAAGCAACTAAGAACTTTGAAAAAAGATTTGACGAAATGTTAACAAGAATACACAATTTAGAGAGGAATATAAGTGAATTGATGGAGCTGAAAAACACAATAGGAGAACTTCGTGAAGTATGCACAAGTTTTAACAGCCGAATTGATCAAGCAGAAGAAAGGATATCAGAGGTCGAAGACCAACTCAATGAAATAAAACAAGAAGACAAGATTAGAGAAAAAAGGATAAAAAGGAACGAGCAAAGTCTCCAAGAAATATGGGACTATGTGAAAAGACCTAAACAACGCTTGATAGGTGTACCTGAATGTGATGAAGAGAATGAATCCAAGCTGGAAAATATGCTTCAGGACATTATTCAGGAAAATTTTCCCAGCCTAGTAAGGCAGGATAATATTCAACTCCAGGTAATACAGAGAACACCACAGAGATATTCCTCAAGAAGAGCAACTCCAAGGCACATAATCGTCAGATTCACCAGGGTTGAAATGAAGGAGAAAATACTAAGGGCAGCCAGAGAGAAAGGTCAGGTTACCCACAAAGGGAAGCCTATCAGACTTACAGCAGATCTCTCAGCAGAAACCCTACAAGCCAGAAGAGAGTGGGGGCCAATATTCAACATCCTTAAAGAAAAGAACTTTCAACCCAGAATTTCACATCCAGCCAAACTAAGCTTCACAAGTGAAGGAAAAATAAAGTTTTTTGTGAATAAGCAAGCACTCAGAGATTTCATCACCACCAGGCCTGCTTTACAAGAGCTTCTGAAAGAACCACTACACATATGAAAGGAACAAACAGTATCAGCCTTTCTAAAAAAATTATCAAAAAGAGCATCAATATAATGAAGAATTTACATCAACTAATGGACAAAATAGCCAGCTAATGGCAGTATTAAACTCACATATATTATTAATTCTAAATTTAAATTGACTAAATCCCCCAATCCAAAGACAGGCAATTTGAATAAAAAACTAAAACCCATCAGTATGCTGCATCCAGATCCATCTCACATTCAAGGATACACAAAGACTCCAAACAAGGGATGGAGAAAGATTTACCAACCAAACAGAGAGCTAAAATAAATAAATAAAAAGCAGAAGTTACAATTAAGCAACAAAGATCAAAAGAAGCAAAGAAGGACATTATATAATGATAAAAGGATCAATGCAACAACAAGAAGAGCTAAAGATCCTAAATATACACGCACCCAATACAGGAATACGCAGACATACAAGACTTATAAAGAGACTTAGACTCCCACATAATAATAGTGGGAGACTTCAACATTAATATTAGACAGATCAATGAGACAGAAAATTAACAACGATATTCAGGACTTGAACTCAGATCTGGAACAAGTAAATGTAATTAACATTTATAGAACTCTCCACTTTAAATATACAAAATATACATTCTTATCAGTACCACATCATATCAACTTAGAAGTTTAAAAGAAATCTTGGTTGGCTCCTTGTTTGCTATTCTCTTCCCTCATTTTCTTTCATGTCTCCATTATTAAGGACAATTATAGGCATACCCATATTTAGATTGCATTCTAGCCCAGGCAATAAAGCAATACCCCCATCCTCTCTCCCTCTTCCTTTTTCTCTTTCTTTCTCTTCTTTAAAAAAAAAAAAAAAGAGTCCAAGACCAGCCTGGCCAACATGGTGAAATCCCATCACTACTACTTCTACTACTAATAATAATAATACAAAATTAGCCAGGCTTGGTGGCGCACATCTGTAGTCCCAGCTACTCAGGAGGCTGAGGCAGGAGAATCACTTGAACCCGGGAAGCAGATGTTGCAGTGAGACAGGTTGGCGCCACTGCACTCCAGCCTGGGTGACAGAGCAAGACTCTATTTCAAAAAAAAAAAAAAAAGAAGAATGTGGGGTGCTTGATGCCTTTGTCTGAAGCTTGGCCTCAGGCCCCATTTCTGGCAACAGGAAATTTCATTCCACACCTCATCCTGGTTTGCGTCCAAAAAACGTTCATTGCCCCATTATCTGCAACCATGAAAAACTGGAAACGGCCCTCAGGCCTAATAGTAGGGAGGGTTCTAAACTCTGCAAGAGCAGGGACATCTGCCTTGCTCATTGTTAGGGTCTGCAGTGCCCAGTGTGATGCCCAGCACACAGTAGCTGCTCAGGAAACATCTGTGGATGGAAGAGGATGAAGGAGGGAGGAAGGGAGGGAGGGGGGAAAAAAGGAAGAAGAGACCGAGAGTTCTTCTGGAATCTCAGAAAGCAAACCCTTCCCTGCTTCTGCCAAGCTGGAGAAGACGCACCTTTTGAGGGGCTGTGACTGTCCATTTTTAAAACTTCTATCAATGTCTCCAAAACTTAATTCCATCTTGAGTGTTTTTCTTTTTCCTTTTTCATCTTCCACCGTTTTTTTTAACGCTAACTGTTGACTTTCTCATTTGGAGAGGCTGATTGAACTGTGGCTTGGGGAACTCAAGACAGTCACTCGAGACATTTAAAGTTCTAATCATGCTGTCGCCTCCCCAGTCCCCCACGCTTGGCGCCAGGGAAACCATCTCTGATGAGAGCCGATTATCTTTACACTCTAGAACGTCACACTCTAAACACAGGCTGTGCGAATCAGAATTCTCCATGACTAAGGTACATCCAGCGAAAATATCAGAATGCCTATTAGCAGGAGAAGGCTGATGGAAAAAACCCATGTGCTGGTGAAGTCCCATGGCTGATGTCATTTGAGAGTCACCTGCTCCAAGCCTGGGGAAGGCTGTGAGATCACCTGTCTGGGGGCCACTCCGTCTCATCCCTCAGGGCTGAGTCAGTGCCCACAGACCTCCCTCCAGAGAGAGTGGTGGGCAAGGGAGGCCAGCGGATGGGGGCAGGGCACGCACGTCAAGTGAGTACCTGCTGTGTGTTGGGCACTGTGCCAGGAAGGATCTCGTGCAGTCTGAGAACAGCCCTGCCAGGTGAGATTTATTTATCACCCTTTTGCAGAGTGAGCTTCCTGTGGGATCTCAAAGGATAAAGAGGAGTTGGGGGAAGTGGAGAGGCCTGGAAAGGCATTCCATGAAGAGGGAATGGCATTGAAAGGCAAGAGGCAATAAATAGAATGAAAGCAGTCTAGTGTTGCTGAAGCTGAAAGGGCCAGCAGGGAGAGGGAAGGACAAGGCTGGAGAGGTGGACGGGGAAGGAGCAGCGAGGCACAAGCCGGAAGCCTGGAGAAGCTGGAGTAGGCTGTCACTGTCATTTAGGAGAGAGATGATGTGTCAACGGCCTAGCCCAGGCTAGACCTTCTTCTCTCATTCACAGGACCCACTGGTGTCCCTGGTCTAGAGAGAGAAAAGGAAAAAACACAGGGAAGAGAAAGAGACCAGAGAAACAGGGTGACGTGGGACATTGCCAGGGAAGAGACTCTCAGAGATACCTAAGCCAGCCTGGAGTCAGCAGGACTGCGTGGCTAATTCAACGCCCACAGAGGCTGAGGGGCGGAGAGGACCCAAGGATGACACCCAGATTCCGGTCTCCAGAGCTGATGGCGGGGCTGCCTCTGATTCTGGGACTCACGGGAGGCACTGATGGAGGAAAGATGCTGCATTGCCTCGTGGACATGCTGGGTTTGTGGTGCTCACGAGATGTGAGCCCAGGATGACAGGGTCTGACTCAGTAGTGGGTCTAGACCCAACATCGAGGCACAGATGTTGGTCGTGAGCTTGACAATGATCCCTACTGCCACAGATGAGAGGCGTGCACTTGGAGGGTGGGGGAGGCTGCAGATGAGCACCCCATCCATTCATCCTGCACACAAGTTCCGTTCGGCCTGCACAGATTTCAAAAATCTTCGAGCCAATGTTTAAAAATCAAGGACGATTTTTTTTGGTTTCTCTTCAGATCACATAA